TCTGTGTAATCTGTTTCACATGCCTTCTTTCCATTTAAAAGAAAACATGTTTGGGGATCCAGTATGATTGCCCTGTCCAAGCAGATTTCATTTTTTTGCACAAAATCTTTTTGAGTTTTTTACCTTCCACGAGTTGTAGAGATTCAAGCTGTTGCTAATATGGGCAGAATGAATATTAAAGATCGAAGAACTAATGTGGAAATGGAAATTGTATTTTTCTAAATGACTTCCTTGTACTGTAATTGCATATGTAATTTTCAGGCATTTAAATTTTTCTTTGTAATTATTTCATCAGTCAGTGGCTATTTGGTGTTATTATCCTGAATGGTGGTAGAAAATATTTCTCTATTTTGTGGGTAGAATTTCTCCTTCTCTTAGATTTTTTCCTAAATCTATTGTTACAATAAACATAAAACTATAATTCATCAGATGTTAAATTTTGGAGAGAGCCACTTTGGTATTCTATAAATGAACTTGTACCATGCTGGGTCTAGAGTTTTAGAGAGGAAAATTTTAGAGAATTTAGAGATAGAGAGTTTTAGAGATAAAAACTCTATTCTTAACTTTTAATGTAACATATCCATTTTTAAGCACAAATAAAAAATTTCTCGCAATACTAAACAAAATGTCATTTCTTTAGAGATCGATGTCTCATTGCCACAATCCGTTGTTTTGTTGTCGTCCTTAAATCCTTTAACACGAATACCCTGTAAATATAGATATTAATTTGCAAGATTTTAAAAACCCGAATTCATTCCAGCAACTGGTCCTGTAGTCCTAATATTGACAAAACTCCCTTCAAGTCAGTTGACAGGCACGGATCTAGCAGTTCAACCAGTGATGTTCTAGCCTCGCCCTGCACCAGGGGACCTCCCATTAGTCTGACACATTACAATAGACTATATTTTAAAGACTACTTCATTTCATCATACCTTATACTTGACAGGTACTAAACACATGGACCTTAAATATAAGTATTCTATAAATCCTCTCGAACTAGGATTCACAGCAGCCCACAGCTTGCCAGGGTTCAGGAACCAAACCGAGTTAGGACACTGGTCCAGATTTGTGCCATTTTAGTTAAAATGTACATTTTCATAAAAAAGATATAATGTGGATAAATAAGTCTATAAAACTATTTTGGGGATATTTCATCTTAAGGAAAAATGTTTCTATAAAATAATAACAGATAGTAGTGTTTATTATATTTCAGGCACTGCCTTAAGTACTTTATGTGAATTAGCTCATTCAAGGCTCAGCAACTACTGTGACTGCTCTAGTTCACAGAAGAAAAATACCTCGATAGGCAGTGCCTACTCCTTCAAAGGTCACATAGCTCACTGCAGTGGATTCAAAATTTGAACTTGGCCAGCCTGGCCCCCAGAGTCCGTGCTATAGTCTCCGTTGACAAGTTTGATTAAAAGGATGTTTTTGAATGTTTAAATAGTTTAAGAAAGTGTTGATCACAAGATCTGTGCAATTGGTGGGGTGAAATGAAAGCCCAAGTAGAGTGTGTTGTGCAGCAAGTGGGAGGCAAGGAGAGTAGAGACAATGAATAGAGTAATTCCCTTCAGTACTTTTTGTTGTCAAGAGATATGGAAGGGTAGCTGAAGGAAAATGTGAGACCAAAGGTGCTACCTTAAGACAAGTGATATTGAGACATGTTCATATCTCAAGGTGACCACTGTAGACTTCTTAGAATGCTATCTTTAATTTCCGGGACATGGTGCTTAACTTGTTTTTTTTCATACCTCCACTGGTGCTTTCTTCTTAGTCTCTTTTGTTTGGTCATCATCTTCTACCAGAGATGGCTGCCATGTATAGTTGTGCAAGTTGTAAACTGCAGGAATTTGAGGGAGGGGGCACAATTTATACTGCCATGTCAATGGTGTTTCCAGATTCATAACATACACACTCTGCACAATTCTGTGTACTAACTCTGATTCCCAGCCTCAGGATACATTTTTATTTCAAATATATAGGAACAATATATATTAATGTTGTGGGGCTAAAGTAAGTAATAGAACTACGGTTAACCAAAACTGAAGCTAATCCACAACAGCAGTAACATTATGTATAAAAAGAAAAGTGGGTCTTGAGATCCAGTGGAAAATGCTGGGTTTCTGAGATATTTCAGAATATAAAATTATTGTTAAAAAGAAAAGCAAAAGCCTTAAGAAAAAGACTTTCTCTCCCCATTTAGCCTCCTTTTCACAATAGCAAACTGAGGTACAGATAGTAAATTTCTACCCAGACTCAGTCTGTAGAGAAACTGGGAGGAAAGCACTGCAGATCACTAACCCCTATCTGTTTGACTCATAAGAAGCAACAGTTAAAATCTGTATGTATGGAAAGATAAAAAAATCTCTAAGTTAACTATGACTTGCTAAATAATTGACAAAAAGAATTCTCTTAATTTGTAATACCCTAAAAGTGGAAACAGTCCTGATATCTATCAACAGGTGAATGTATATGCAACTTATGGATATATTCTTACAGTGGAATACTATTTAGAAAAAAAGGGGGGGGATGAGTTATTGATACATACTACTACATAGATAAATCTCATAATAACTATCCCAAGTGAAAGAAATCAGACCAAAAGAGTTTACAATATAGATTACATTTGTATAAACTTCTAGAAAAGGCAAACTGCAGTGACACAAAGCAGATCAGTGGTTGCCTACAGGGAGGGGAGAGGCAGAAGGAAAGAATGACAAAGGGGCAAGAGGAGACTTTGAGATGATGGATGTGTTCATTATCTTGATTGTGGTCATGGTTTCGTGGGTATATACATATGTCAGAACTTACCAAACTGTACTCGTTAAATATATATAGTTTATTGTGTGACCGTTATACCTCAATAAAGCTGTAAAAAAATAAGAAAGGACACAATTTCTGAATGTCTGATACTGCTTTATACAGCCTTTGATCTAATGTCAGAAAGTGAAAGCAATGCACAAGTAAACATTCTGCAGGATAGCAGTGAAAATGTCATTATAATGTCAAAAGATCCATAAAACCAAGTGCCACTTTAAAAATGCAAACAATTTTTTCATATTCTGGTCACATTTACAGTTGTTCCTGTAGAGGAGAGTATATGTTTTGTGCTTGCTTCTTAAATGGAACCAACCTAACACCATTTGATTTATTTCACTTCTGTGACACTTTGAACCAGCTGGGGTTCAGAAGTTCAGAGCCTTCATACAAGTAACAAAAATTCATTCCAAATTCATCTTTGACAACATTTATGAACAGTGTCCTTGTGCTTTTTGTTTCTGTGGCTGTGTCAGCTTATCTCTGATTGAGGTTCTTTCTGCATTTCCTGCAGTCAGTGAACACTATCCTCCAACCAACTGCCTTTGTCTCATAAACATTTAACGAGAGACAAAGCAACAACTAGCTTAGAAGAACAAGCAGCAGCGATGCCTGGCTCCACCTCCTTATTTGTTTTATCCCAAACCCCTAACACACCTGTGTACCCTGTGTAGGCATCATAAATTCCTGTTGACTGACAGCGATGAACTCAATTAACTTACACATTTTACTTAACCTAAGAGAAAACAACAAAACAATAACAAGAAGAGAGCCACAGTACTTTGAGATCACTGGGTGGACACACTATGTGTGATCTACCATCCTCAGGGATTTAAACTGCTCTTGAGCAAACATACTTTATAAATTGAGACCTGGCAGGCACCCAGGGAGTGGTTAAGGTCTGCATTTATTGTTGAACTTTGGCACAACACGCTCAACTGATTGGTGGTGCTCTGGGACTAGTTAGCTGGGTGGAGATGAACATGTCTCAGCAGAATAATTTAGTATTATTAGCATGACATTTGATATTAATAACATTATAGCAATCAGAGATCACTGTTTCTTGACTCAGAAATCACAAATTTTAAAAATGTTAAAATGAGATAATGGAGGAAATTTATTAAAAACTGAAATATACAAATGGCTCTAGTTTAAGGTATCACTGTTGATTAGAGAATTGACAATTATGAGAAATAAACTTGAGAGTAACAGTTCAGCGAAAGGTTTTTCCTGTTGTTTCTTTTGGGAGATAATGGAGGAAATTTGTTAAAAACTGAAATATACAAATGGCTCTAGTTTAAGGTATCACTGTTGATTAGAGAATTGACAATTATGAGAAATAAACTTGAGAGTAACAGTTCAGCGAAAGGTTTTTCCTGTTGTTTCTTTTGGGGGTTTGGGGTAGGAGGTAGGGGAGAAAACATGCTATGTGTGCTACAATACTACTATTTTTGCAGGCCATGAATTCAGTTGTACATTAAAATAGATACTATTGTATTTATGTGGAGAATTAAACCAATTCTAAAATTGCTTGAATTCTGTTAGAGTGCATAATTATGAAATGAAATAAAATAGGATCATACATTTTTATTTCTGGTCTTTACTTTTTTGAATTTCTAGTTTTCTTTAAGTCATGGGCAAGAAGATCTAGGCATCTACTACAGATCAAAATCAAAAGACGTTTTCTTGGATGCTTTAAAGGGATCATTCAGTATGATTGGTGATGGGGAAATGCACACTAATTTATAATTTATAGCAAAGTCAAATAATCTCCAAATCTCGTTTAAGAAATTTACACTTCAGCCATTTGGAGGCCTTACAAAATGTAGAATACACACTTTTAAAAATCCAAACAAAAACTGAAAATTGATGGTAACATTGGATTTAAAGGTGATTCTCTTTATGTTCCAGATTACATTTACTTTTCTTGCCAGAAGGTCAGGGAGAAAGAAGGACTTACATATCACTCTTCACTTCATTTCTAGGCTGCAACTTATATACTGGTCAATTCTGGCCAGTATAGTAGAGATCACAGAAGGAAAATTGTCCAGTAATTATTTTAGTGTGTTTTGTAGAATACGCTTCTAATAGAACAGGCACAAATTATTCAATTGCATAGCAATTATTGGATTTTGTCTGCTTATTTTCTTAGTGAAATTGTTTAAATTTTTTGTTTGTTTCAGGGCTCATGCCTGTGGCACAACAGCCTGTGTATTGTGCTTCAAAGCATGGCATAATCGGATTCACACGCTCAGCAGCGGTGAGATCACAACCACAACATCCCTTTTTTTTTTCTTTCTGTCTATATACGAAACATGAGTTCTATAACATAGAGGGTAATAAATTCAGAAATCAGCACCTCTGGATTAAGAGAGAAAAATAAATTATCCTCTAATCTTTATTATAAAAGATGGTTTTCAGATCACATCAAGGAACAAATGAAGAAGAGATCTTTTAAAAATGATGTTAGTTCCTAAACACAGATGTGTATTGAAAAATATCCTAAGGGGCAGCCTGGGTGGCTTAGTGGTTTAGTGCTGCCTTCAGCCCAGGGCCCGATCCTGCAGACCCGGCATCGAGTCCCATGTCGGGCTCCCTGCATGGAGCCTGCTTCTCCCTTTGCCTCTCTCTCTCTCTCTCTCTCTCTCTCTCTCTCTGTGTGTGTGTGTTTCATGAATAAATAAATAAAATCTTTAGAAAAGAAAAATATCCTAAGGGGGGAAAATGGGAAGATACTACCTATATTTTATAATTGACTCCAAATTTAAAAATTATTAACTTTAGGCCTCCTTAAGTAGAATATGTAGTGTGCTCTAGATATTACTTATCACTGGAAATAGGAAAAAAAGGAGAGCACAGAGGGACGGGACAGGAATTTACTGGAGAGAGTAGTCAAGGATGACGCCTCCATGGGGCCTAGGGTGAGAAATGTACAGAGTGAAGAAAAATATTTTGGGCCTAATTGACTGCATGCACTGATGGCATGACACGAAAGTGCTTGTCTTTTCATAATAACTGAAAAGAGGCAGTTTGAATGGAACCTGAAGAGCAAGGGGAAAGTAAGAAGCAGGGGCCAGACAAAAACCCCAGCTTATTAATCACAGTGATGAGCTGAGATTACTTTTTTTTTAATTTTATTTATTTATTCATGAGAGACACAGAGAGAGAAACAGAGACATAGGCAGAGGGAGAAGCAGGCTCCCTGTAGGGAGCCTGATTCAGGACTTGATCCCAGGACCCCAGAATCACGACCTTAGCCGAAGGCAGACACTCAACCACTTAGCCATCCGGGTGCCCCGTGAGATGAGATTTATTCTAACTGCAGCCATCATGAGTGGGTCATTTATGCCAAGGCATGACAAGATCAGATTTCCATTTTCAGAAGACCATTCTGGCTACTGTTTAGAGACTGTATTAGAACAAACGTAGAAGAAGATACAATAGTTGGGGGAATCTCTGCAATGATTAGTCTAAGTAAGGCAAAGAGAGGGACCAGACAGAGACAGACAGGGAAGAGATGGGGGTAGAGAAAGTAAATGTCTGAATGGTAGATATTCAGTCAAAAGAAAGATAAGCAGCTCTCATGCTCACAATTCAAATTGATTTGGAAATTTTTATTTACTTTGCGGAGACTTGATCATTAATTCAACTTTTAATGAACAATAAAGCTATTACAAAAGAAGGTAAATCTTAAGTACCAGAAATTTCCTATTTACAATGACAAGAGTGAAAATCTGTACAGTCAATTCTCACTATTTGTGGTAGGTAGTTCTATAAACTCACTTGCAAACACTGCATTAGAGAATACTGAACTGTTGCTCCTTGGGGAGAAACAGAGTTTAGTTCCTTTGAGCCTCTGGTCACAGCATTTTGACCAATCAATCCATATATAGCCTAATCTTATGTATCTTTCTGTGTAAAGACATCTTATATAATATGTACTGTGTCCAATATGTATTGTATTAACATGACCAACAGCATTTATACCTCATGACAGCTTGAAACTTATCTAACACCTGAATTTTCTCTGTAAGGCACATCACAGCCTTCTCACACTTAGAAGGAACATTGGACAGCACTTTACCATCATGGTTGGGAGGCATTTTAAATAGCAAAGTCATCAACAAATGGCACAAAAATAGGAAAAACATAGACTAAATGTATCACAAAGAGGATATTTGTTTATGGCATAAGAGCTGAAACAAAAGCATCTTTTTTATTTTAGCTGGAACATTTGCTCTGTGTCCAAAATTGACCCCAAAAGCTCCATGACTGTTGATTTTGGTGGTTACCAATAAACTTTCACAAGTAAGTGGGGTCCAAAAATAATTAACTACATTTTGTCTCAAAAATAATTGAAATAAAATCAATAGTTTGAAAGTTAAGTCAAAGAATGCTAGTCTGAAATACGTAAATTGCCTTCCACGTAGTACATATTACCAAGAGTATCTATAGCATCAATCGGAGTCTCTAACTTTCCACCAACAGTATTTTTTAAAGAAATATTTTTTTTGTTATGCAATCTTAATCTTTGAAACCAAACTTGAGATATTAATTCCGAGCCTCGGTTTTTTGCATTTAGGTTCCTGCAGAGTTCAATAGATAAGAGTAGCTTAGATAATCAAGTATTTTCAGGAGCTTCCCAGTAATACTGATTTTGAAAGAATGAATTAGCTGAGGCTTTCAGGTATTAATTTAACACTTTAAGTATGTGATCTTTTACTTTCTGCTACCAGTCAACCTTAACACTGTCATTGTTAGATAGCTAGTATTTTTCACATCACGGTCTTTGGAATGGCTTTAATTATCAGTGTGTCCCATGGTATATATTTACAAAGCAACTGAAGCCTGTAACCTTCTACTTCTCATCCGCAGATGGCAGCGAATCTCATGAACAGTGGTGTTAGACTGAATGCCATTTGCCCAGGCTTTGTTAATACACCCATCCTTGAATCCATTGAGAAAGAAGAAAACATGGGACAATACATAGAATATAAGGATCATATCAAGGATATGATGAAGTTCTATGGAATTTTGGAGTAAGTAAAACTATGATGGAACAAAGTATTGTCTAGACATAAACAATAAAAAGGGAAAAAATAACCCTTTACATTTGAGAAACTAATTTGGCAAACTCTCTAAAAGAAATTTTTTTTCTGGATTTCCAAACAGAATGTGTTTACACATTATGAATTTCGAGATACAGATCATAATGCCTTCAGTCATAATCAGATTTTTTTTTAATGTTCATGTTTAGTTGCCTTTGGAAGTAAAGATATCTTATTTGACTGAATTCCAAGCAATATTCACACTTACCTTTTGTGAAATTTCATATGGCCCCCTAGTTGCAACCGTTTTATAAGAAACAGTTGACAGAGACACATGTTTAATGGACAGTGTCTGAATTCAAGCAGTTGGTTTCATAGCACAGAGTCATAACTGTCATGTCGAAGGAATCAGACCACCTGGGATCAAATCCCTCCTCTACCATTTATCTGTCAACCTCTGGGTACTTCAGTTTTCTCTTGTGCAAAATAATCCGAGAATGCATTGAATAGTGAAAGGTTCTTAAACCAGCAACAGATAAATACGAGACATTCTTATCAGTAATTCTTCACATATCTACTTTAATACCATTTTTATCTGATAAGTCTAAGATCTACTTTAGGATAAAGATGAGAAGATAATCATTTTCTCAATGTAAACAATAAATATAAATTCATAAATTCTTCCTGTCAGAATGACAGAGATTGGGCATGGAAATCTAACACTCAATTTATCATATAATTTAGTTGATATCTAACTGACTAAAATATGGAGGTAGCAATAGCTTCATGATAGATATTTCCCTATTACATGTTAAAGGTAGTAGATTTTTCAAAAGCAATTCAGAATGTAGTGATAATTATGCCTCATATTTAGTTTAAAAACAATATTCCCTTTATTTTTAGCCCATCAATGATTGCCAGTGGGTTAATAACACTCATTGAAGATGATGCTTTGAATGGCGCTATTATGAAGATCACAACCTCTAAGGGAATTCATTTTCAAGACTATGAAACAACTCCATTTCATGCAAAAACTCAGTGAACATCTTCTGTATCGGCCGTAACTGAAAACAAGAACAAATGACTTCCATTAGACCATTTCTTCATCGAATATAGCTTTTTAAATGAAATGTTATTGTCTGAAGCTTTCTTTCATGCGTTTGAGATTAACTTTATCTCTAAATGATTAGTTAGGTATTTGGATGAAAAAATCAGGAACTCTCAAAGATAGGATGTGAACCAAAGTTAACTTTTGATTTTTATATAAGTCTAAGTAATGATTAAAACAAAGGATATTCGAGGAATATTCTGCCTTTCAGAAAATGTATTTAAATTTGTGGTACATGAATATTAATGTTTTTCAGAATATCATTTTAAAGGAGATACTTGAAATGTTATTTAAGTCAAACCAGATGTAAAAATCTCATTTTGTTTTTATGTTCTCACTAGTAAAAAAGAGAAGCTACCTGCAATGGCAAATTTTTAGTAATAATAACTTTACTTATATACCACTTTTCAGCTGAACATTTCAGCTCTTTAAAGATGTGACATACTTAGGGGCCAGTAGTTAGGAAATAAAGTACAGTATGACTATATCCCAAATGAAAAATCTGATATATGGGAAAATGACAAAGTAATTGGCTGAGATATTGATCCAAGTTCAGCCTCCCATCTAGGGAAACCATTTCTTTCCTATTTGCTTACTTTAAGAAATTTAATTTTCTCCAACAAGCTCAGGAATGACATTTTTAACACTTATAGCAAAAGTAATAGTTAGTGCTTCTACAATATTATATTTAAGATTGCCTCATTTAGAAAAAAATAGAAATGTAATATTTTTCAGGTTATTTCATTTATACCCGTTTCCACAGTGCCTACTTTTTAATAAAAATCTTCTTTCATTTTAATCTCCAGAACTTATTTAGTGTTATATGTATAGCTTTCGAGGAGAAGAAACCAATTTTGTCACAGCCTTGATCGTTAGTGCTCAAAGTCACAATAATAAGAGATAAAGGTAGCTGTGATGTTTTTGCTGTTTTCCCTGTCAAGTATTTTAACATATGATCAGTAAATGCAACTGCTTTGGGTATCATTATTTGCAAGCAATAATTAATGCCAGTAATAGTGAAAGCACAAGATTTCCAAATCAACCATTTTCTTAGGGAATACTATATATGTGATTCACTCTGCCTGCTAAATTCAGAGCTCCCAGCTTGGAGCAAATTCCGTCCATGTGAGAGATGGATGGGGGTTTTCTAGAGACACTGGAGTGTTGTCATGTCTTGCTCTGTTTTAATTCTGCCGTAGAAAATATTGCCTTCACTTTTAAAGAGTAATTTTAATATGAATAACTCTTGTCCAGAGTTTCACATAATGCACTTGAAAAAACAACGAGAAATGAAAATCCAGGACTGTCTGATAGAGAAAAGTGGGAATAATGCACAAACTTGTTCACACATTGTGGCAGTAACTAGTCAGTGAATAATAATACAGGCATGGGGAGTATTACTTCCTTATTTTCCTACTGTAATGTTCCACTAGAGCTAAAACTTTTCATTTATGGATAATTTTTTGTACTGGCAGTCGTCAATATACTTAGTGTATTGAGTTGAATGTTTTTCAAATCAGTGAACTCTGCAGACATTTAAAATCAGATACTGAGTAGAACTGAAAAAAATGAGGTATGTTGGAAAAGTTCATTTTATATTAAAATGTATCTGCTATAAATAGCTTTAAATAAACCTGTATAATGTTATATGATATCTCTGTATACTGGTTGGGGAAAAATAACATTAAATTTGGGGGAATGGAAAGCCTTAGTTTCTTTAATTGTATTTTTTCAGTGAAAATCCTAATGTAAATAATATGCATTTTTTAAAATGTACATTTCTTAATAAATGGGTTCCCAGAATAGCAAAGCTAAAAGTATGTGGACACTGAAAAAAGAGTAAGACTCGATAATGGCATTGAATGTCCATCAAACTTAATTTTCATATCAAAATAATTTTAGTTGCTTGTTGTGCCACTTAAAATATAAATGATTATGTGATGATTTCTGTCTAGTTTTTTTTTTCTCTGTTCATAAATTTAGGATGCTGAAGAAGTCTGAAAATGTAAATTTTTAAATAAAGTTCAAGTCATTTCACATACTAAGTATCATTCAAAGGGTAGCTTCTTTCTTACATTTGAATTTCAAAAGGCAAAAATCCTCATGCACAGGAGAAGGTGACTGGGTTCAGTGCAGGGTGGCAAATGCTGGCACCAGTCTTCCAGCTCTTTCCCCTTGTTAGCGTCCCTCCTATAGGGCAGCTCTGTCCATATGGTGGCTTCAGGGTTGACAGCCTGATTTTCACCAGCTTTCAGTCTGACCAAGAAAAACTTGTTTCTGACAGCAGAGCTCCTTGGTCTTGCTTCAGTTACGTAGAGTCCTGAGATAGTCCTTCGGGTCAGAGAGGTGATCATGTGGCTTGACCAGAACCAGATGACATGTCTCCCCCAGAGACAGAGAAGAAAGAGCAGTGGAGGGCAGGAGAGGTGGGTGGGAGATTGACCTGAACCCTCTGGATTAAGACAGGGAGAAGAATACTTTCAAGAAGAAAATTATGCTGCCATTCCCAGAAAGTGGGCGAACATGCCAAGCTAAGAAAACAATAGTCATTATAGAGGAAGATGGAGTGAACAAGGGTTAGTTTTGTCTTAATCTCTTGGATAAATTTTCAAAGACTTTTATGATTCCTATAACATACTTAGAACCTTGTTTTTAACACTCCATGTACCACATTGGATAGGATATGATGAAAGAGGAGAAAGTGAATAGAAAATAGAGCAGTTACCTCCTGCATATGTAATTGTACTCTTTCTCAATCTATGACCTTTATTATTGTGAATCACAGTATGGTTCAAAAAGGTTCAGGGGCACCTGGGTGGCTCAGTGGTTGGGCACCTGGGTGGCTCAGTGGTTGAGAATCTGCCTTTTGCTCAGGTCGTGATCCTGGGTCCTGGGATCAAGTCCCACATCAGGTTCCCTATGGGGAGCCTGCTTCTTCCTTTGCCTCTATCTCTGTGTCTCTCATGAAAAAATAAATAAAATCTTTATTAAAAAGTTTCAAAAGCTACTTGTTTTAATATTGACTGCAATTATTGCCTCTAGAGTTTATTTTTGAATTTCTGACTATGCTACCATTTTAATCTTATGGTTCCATTTAAATGTTTTAGCACCCTTCTAATTCCTCTTACTAAAATTTCATCAAAAATGTATGGTTACACTACATTTTAACAGAATTTTTTTTTTTGAGAGGAAGAGAGAGAGAGAGCACAAGCAGGGAGAGGGTCAAAGGGAGAGGAAGAGGGAGAACCAGACTCTCCACTGAGCACAATGCAGGGCTCGATCCCAGGACCCTGAGATCATGACTGGGTTGAAATCAGATACTTCACCAACTGAGCCACCCAGGTGCCCCTTGAAGATAATTTTTTAAGTTGAACTTTAAACCATTAAAATTTCTTTTTTGCTCTTAGTTTTTAGGTAACATCTCACACATAAACTCTCTCACTCAACAAATAATTCGCAAACAGTTATTTTGTTGGTAAATTTATATTTGCATGTTTCAATACATTGTGTTCTATGTAGATGTTAGTGCAGACATGCACTGGTTAAGGTCTGGTCTGGCAAAAAGCATTCTAGGAATGCTAGAATCTAATATAGAGAGATAGTTACAAAGGTTACTGGAAGAACTGAAGAACCCTAGAGAAAGGATGGGATGAAAAAGTAACCGGAAGGAAGGTACTACTCCAGGGTAGGAGTGGGCAGCCACTGACAGACATGCCACCTTAAGAGAAGGGAGAAGGAGGAAATGACCTTGAAATCTCCCATCTGCCTGCCCTTCACTATTCTGTTTTCAAATCAGGAAAATATTGTTTGCAGGATCTGCCCCTTGTGACAGGGCTGAGCAGTATAATAGAAGGGAATGGATTTGAAAATAAACAGTCTAGTGACAGGCACAACATACATTTGATATTTACCCTGCTGCAGTCATAGATTTGAGCTTGCTACTTAGCACCCACTAAAGGTTATATCTAAGAGTCATGAATAAAGATAACACTCTGACTCCATAAAAATAAAATGGTGCAGTGGCCTGAGGATCTATTTGCACAATAGCTAATGACCCTGCAGACATCTTGCAGATAAGTAGCAGCCTATGCACTTGGGCATAGAGATGTACAGATTTACTGATAATTCCTGTCACTCATCCTTAAGATCATTTGTCTTATTGTTTTATGCTGTGACTAGTTATGTAAATATAAGAAATACTACTTCAAAAATGAAGAAAGCAATACTGTCTCACCATCATCATATAGGTGCTAAATAAGTTTTCAATGACACTAAAACAGGCTGGTCATCATATTAAGTCCTATCAGATTTTTGGGCTCAACCTGATGACTTTAAATTGTAAAAGAATGAAGTGATAAATTCTCAGATTTAGGTTGCCCTAAAGCAATTGCATGCTAATCAGACACCATTATCTAAAATCTAAATGTATAAATTTAAACAGATTTTTACTATCCACTCTTAAATTCATATATATGTGTGTATATACATAAATTACATATTCATAAAGAGATAGATGATATAGGTAAATAGATAAATAGGTAATACAGATGTGATGGAAGAACTAGATCTGTGGCTTTCAAATGTTTCACTCTTGATCACAAAGGAAATTTTAGAACTATGTATACTTTGTAATCATTGAGTAAGAGAGTAGCAGAGGATTCAGATAAACCTCGAAATTCATGGCTTAACATAATTAAACTTTTTCTTTGCTCATAAAGGAACCCAATGCTGGTATTCAGTGAGCAGCTTTACAGAAGTGGTTCTGGATCCTTCTGCCTTGTAGCTCCACTGTCTAGGGCTTTGGGGTCATTCACCTTCAGCCAGTGACTGGAGAAGTAGAGAAGACATATCCGCTTCTTAAACAATCTCAGCCTGCAAGTAATATAAATTATTTTTACTCATAGCCTATTGGTGAAACTAGTTCCATGACCCTATCCAAATGTAAGCAATGCTAGGAAGTATAGAACCTATAGACAAGCTTCCCAAAAACAACTCTCCACAATAGAAAAGGAGCTTGCATTTTTCATGAGCAAACACATCTTTTGTGGTTTTGCCACATGTAGTATCTCTCTATAAACCCCTCATTCCTCACAATGAAAACATACACTCCCACTCAAGAGAAACATCCTAAAATCCCACACAGTTACTGCATGCAACTCAAATCCAGATCCCCAGTATCTACACCGTCCTCTCCATTAGGACATGTGGCTTCTTGGGATCCCTGGGTGGCGCAGAGGTTTGGCCCCTGCCTTTGGCCCAGGGCGCGATCTTGGAGACACGGGATCGAATCCCACGTCGGGTTCCCTGCATGGAGCCTGCTTCTCCCTCTGCCTGTGTCTCTGCCTCTCTCTCTCTCTCTCTCTCTCTCTCTCTCTCTCTCTGTGAGTATCATAAATAAATAAAATCTTAAAAAAAAAGGTCATGTGGCTTCTCATGATCTAGTGACCTGTGAACTCAAAAGACAATTTATCTAACCTGTGCACACACACCCTGTATAATGATGACTAGAGGAAGAAAACCAACAATAAAATCTCTTACTTGGAAAAGAGAAGAGGAGGATCACTGGTCAACAACAGTGATAACAATTCTACAAGTAAGCATTGTGAGGTCTCTGCCCTGGAAGTGAGGAATTTCCTTGTCCACACTCTGAGTAGACTCTGGGCCTCTGAATGATAGTGTAGCTGCAATATAGAAGGAGCCTGAATCCTCAAATAACCCTCTTGGAATGCTTCCCACTCTACACTTACATTGAATTCTTGTGTCTGAGAGAAATAAATTCTATTTTGTTAAGTTCCTGCAATTTTGTGATTTCTCTCTGACAGCACTGAACATTATCTTAGCTAATACAGTTGATACAGAAGTGGAATGCTGCCAAACAACCAAACCCAACATATGTAGCATTGTCTTAATACATGAATAGCAGGTGGTGAGGCTAGAAAAATGGAGGACCATGTTAAGCAAAAATAAATATATTTTTGGTAATTGATAATTATATTGCTTCTGTGACTACTGAGGCTGATTTCTAAATGAAGAGGTTGGAAGACAGAATGCATTGGTGTGTTTTGGTATTTTCCAGTTATGTTTGCAAGGTATAGAACCCAGAGACGAGCTCAGGTTAGAGTTCACCTAGCCTGAGCTAGGATAAAAATGGAAGAAAAAAAAAAAAGGAGAAGAGAGAATCCAGAAATTTGAAGCCTTTGGGGTTGGAAAGTTTAACTGGCTTTAAACTCCAGATAACAAAAGGTAAGACTAAGAAATGTTTTCTCTATTAAAAATGCATTAAAATGCATTAAAGTATAGGTCTGTCCTTGATGTTTATAGCAGCATTATTTATAATGCTGCTATAAACATGCCCAATTGTGCCCGATTGTGGAAACAGGCCCAATTGTGCCCAATTGTGGAAACAGCCCAAGTGTCCATAGACTAATAAGTGGATAAAGAAGATGTGGTATATATACACAATGGAATATTACTCAACCATAAAAAGAATGAAATATTGCCATTTGCAACTACACTGATGGAACTAGAAAGTATAATGCTGAGCAAAATAATCCAGTCAGAGAAAGACATACACATTATTTCACTCATATGTCGAATTTAAGAAACAAAATAAATGAACAATGAGAAAAAAAGAGAGAGGGGGGCAAACCAAGAAACAGACTCTTAACTAGAGAGAACAAACTGATGAGTACCAGAGGGAAGGTGGGTGAGGGGATGGATGAAATAGGTGATGGGGATTAAGGAGGGCACTTGTGATGAGCACTGGGTACTGTGTGTAACTATTGAATCACTATATTGTACACCTGAAACCAATACATTCTAAGTTAACTAACTGCAATTAAAATAAAACTTAAAAATAAAGTAGAAGTCTGTCACAAATTGCAAGTGTAGAGTTCCATCCAAGCCTGCTTATTTCAACATAGCTGCCATTATGTTGAAAGAAGAGAAGAATGGGGGTGCAAGGAAACATGTCAGGCTGAGAATTATGACCTCTCTGACAATGAAAGATATTTGAGATTTTTTCAGGCAAACCAAATTGAC